ACTTGATGGTTCACTCTGGTGGCAGCTGGGCTGCTAACCACAAAAGTGGGCAGTTCAAACTCATCAGCCACTCCTCAGAATGTCAAACTGTCTACTCCCATATAGATTTAAGATCTTGAAAACCCTTCATAGGGCTGCTGGGAGCTGGAATCGATTCAGTGGTAGTGGGTTTGGGGCTGCGCATTGAGCTGCTGGGCACAGAATCAATGGTTTGAACCTACTAGCTGCTCTGATGAAGATGAGGCTGTCTGCTCCCATAAAAACCTAAAGTCTTGGAAACCCAAGGGGCAGTTCCACCCTGTCCTCTAGGGTTGTACATATGAGCAGCAACTCAATGGCAGTGGGTTGGAGGTCTTCTAGCCAGAAAGTGAACTCGGGAAATTACAACTGTTGTAGCGGAAAGGAACCATGATAATCCCATAGTGTAATCTTCTAATAGCAGTAACCAAGGTCCCGAGGCTTTCCCAAATTAGTGACAGTTCAAGATTTGAGAACCCCAGAAACCGCTCCCTAATTAGATACATTTCCGTTTCATCATTGATAAGATGGAGGGAGGCTAAAAATAAGCTAAAATGAAATTTGCTAATATAACTTCCCCCATTCTTTGTTAAAGAAAATGAAGTTGGCTGACATCAAATCTCATACGCAATTTGACCACTCAGCTTTGAGGCCTCCAGGACCACCGAGTGAACATCTGCAATAAAATCTGTAAGCATGCTTACACTAGAGATAGTCAGAGGCATGTTGAAATCCTTGCCGCCTTGCAGACGGAAACCCCAAGGAGCTGGGCCAACCAAGGACACACTGTAGTTGCTCATGGTTCCAAAGGTTCAAAGTCCGGTCCCAGGAGACGAAAGAAACTGAAAGAAAATTAGATAGTTAATGAAGTGTTTATTTGAAATTCGATTACATATTTACATTCACTTAACAGAAAGCCAACTAAATTATGTTCCCTGTTTGTTTTTTAGTGGAGAGGGGATACAGTAGATACAAATCTATGTTAAGCTCAGTCATTTCAGTCTAAGAAATGGAATATAGGAGGTAATACGCAATTTCTACACTCAGGACAATTTCCACAATATAAAATTCTTCTTCTAAAATACATTTCTAAAAAATTATAATAATTTTAAGGTGCCCTGGGGGTGCCATTAGGCATTGTACTGAGAACCACAAAGTCAGCAGTTCAAAACCATCAGCCACTCCATGGGAAAAGATGAGGCTTTCTACTCATATAGAGGTATAGTCTTGGAAACCCAAACAGCCGATCTACCCTGTCCTATAGGGCTGCTATCAGTCAGAATTGACTTGATGGCTGGGAATTTTTTTGTTTTGTTTTTTGGTGATCCTGTGGGTTTGGTATTGGGTTGTTAATCGCCAAGGCTGGTGGTCCAAACCCACCAGTCACTCTGCAGGAGAAACATGAGGCTGTCTGCTTCATAAAAATATTTAGTCTAACTTGCTATATCCAGTTTTGTGGCTCTCTGTAGCGCTGCTGGGTAAGCACTGGGCTGCTAACAGCAAGATCTGTAGTTGAAACTTTGGGCCACTAAGAGTGGGAATCAGCTCAATTGGCAGTGAGTTTGGTTAGGTTTGGGCATACAAATTTAAAGAACTTGACAATATTGTT